CAGTGGCAGTCAGCTGCTGAAGTCGTGGTGATGGCGGACGCTGTGCTCCGCTTGGACGCGGAAGGTCGGGCGGTTGATTTTGAGGCGTGGCTTGTCAACCTCCGTCGCCAGCTGACAGGTCAACGCCAGGATGGCTATTCCCTAGCCGTCCACATCGATGGAAAGCTCCCCTGTCCCGCCGCGCCTCCTGCCCTCCCTGACGCACCCACGTCTGCTGAGCGTGGGGCCTTTGCCGCTGCTGAGCTTGCCCGTGCTGTCTGGGAGTCGTGCAATGCAGTTGCATAGCTTGCTATTAGTCACGCCCTCCCCTTGTCTGAGCATCCCCGCTTTACCGCTGTAGCAAATGCGAAGGAACACTTAGATGCGGTTATTGCGTGCTATTCCACTCCCTTCTCCGGCTCTGCCAATCGTCTGATCCTCCCCATGCTACTCCCTGATCTTGCGTCCTTCCCCAATGTCGCTGACCTTGCCACCCATCTCCGCGCACTTGACACTAGCTACCGCGCCGCTAGCACTGAGGAACAACTCACTGCATTCCCGCCGCCGCTTTGCGCTACCCTTTACCTCATTTTCTATAAGCCTCCCTGACCGCCTTGCCACAGCCCACTACCATTTCCTTAGTCAGCACCCAGGTGACCTCACCCTTACCGCTCTTGTCACCGCCCTGTCCGCAATAGAGATCCGCCAGCGCACTATCGCTCATTCTAGCGGTACTACGGTGGTCCCTATCTTCCAGGGATGTGCTCCCTCCCAGTGCACTTACTCCCGAGCACTGGGAGGGAGCACTGAATGACCGCTTGCGGCGTTGGTGGTGGTCGTCGTGGTGGTGGGCCGCGCAGCTCAGTGCTGGGTGGCGGCTCCAGTGTGGTCACCTGCCAGTACCAGCTTCAATTCGGCCCCCGCCGCGACACCGTCTGCGACCATCCCAGTGACACTGCCACCCGCTGCTACCGCTGCCTCGACGACCTCTTCTGTCTCCGCTTCGGTCCCACGTCTGACCCCCTCGACAGGTACAGCCAGGTGCGTTGCCGTGCGCCTATCTTTGAGCTGGATATGGACCCGATTACCCTGTGTTGCCTACTGTAGATGTGTCCATTGTGTATAGCCTAGGCCGCCCTGCTGCATCAGGCATAGTACCACCTGCCTTGTTTAGCCTTGGCTCCACGCTCGCTCCTCCGCCTGCGGACGCTACCGCCGTGCTCTCTTTCACGCTGGACTCTGGTGCGTCTGTCTGCTTCTTTTGCGACCACACTGTGCTTACACCGCTTGCCGCACCTGCCGCTGTAGCACTTCCTGACCCCTCCTCATGTCCGATAGTTGCACGTAGCTCCACTACCCTTCCCTATCTGGTGGTTCCCTCGAGCTCCCTTACAAGCTTGCACATCCCCTCGTTCTCCAGGAACCTATTTGGTTTCGGCTGTCTTCAGGACCTTGGCGTCACCACTACGTTTCCTGGACACGAGCGGTACGCAGTCTGTACCGAGGCCGCCACTGGTGCCCCACTCACCACGTTCTCTTGGGACCTAGTATCTGGCCTGTTCACCCAAGGCACCGCGTCCCCCCCGGTGGCCGCGCCCTCCCAGGTTGCTGCGGCTTGCTCGTGTCGGACGCTCACTCACCCGTCACTTCTATGGAACCACTGCCTAGGTCACTCCGCACTTCCGCGTCTGCGTCACATGTCCCAGCACGGTCTTGTCTTAGGTCTCCCAGCGTCCCTCCGTGCCCTTCCTCCCTCGCCTGTGCCTTCGGACACTCCTTGCGTCGAGGGTCGGCTGCGCCGTGCTCCTCATCCCTCCTCGTTCCTCCCCACCACTGCAGAATTCCAGACTGTGCACATGGACATTTGGGGCCCAGCCCCCGTCCATGGGCCGCGTCGCGAGCGCTACTTTCTGGTGCTTGTAGACGACTACACACGCTACACTGTGGTGTTTCCCTTGGAGCGGAAGGCGGACATGTCTGGCGTTCTTATCCCGTGGTTTGTAGCTACGAGAGTCCACCGCGGCCTCCCTGTACTGCGTCTTCCCTCCGATCGTGGCGGCGAGTTTGCCTCCGGTTGGCTTTGCCAGTTCTGTCGTGCGGAGGGCATCACCTAGTCGTACACCCTGCCGGACTTACCACAGAAACATGGGGTCGCTGAGCGACGCATCGGTTTGGTCATGGAGGTGGCTCGTACTCTGTCATCCATGCCAGTGCACCCTATTTTCTGTGGCCGTTCGCTCTTCGCTATGCCGCTCACCAGCTTAACCTGTGGTCGCACTCCTAGCGGCCACAGGTTTCGCCGACCCTCCTCCGGACCGGGTCCCTTGGTACCGCGTTTGCGTTCCACGTTTGGGGCTGCCTCGCTCACGTTCGTGCCTCTGGCACGGACAAGCTCACTGTCCACACTGACCCTTGTGTCTTCCTTGGCTTCCCCCTAGACACGTCTAACTGACACTTCTACCACCCGCCTTCTCACCGCTTCTTTCACTCGCGTGACGTCACTTTTGACAAGCCTGTCTCCTTCGACCACCGCTTTCCCCACCGAGGTCTCCCGGTGTCCTCGCCCCTATTTTTGGTTCCCACCCCCCCGGTAGCCCCTGCTCCTCTTCCCCCCTGTCCTGCGCCGTCTGGTATGTCTCACGTCACTCCCCTCCCGCCGGTGGTCCCGGTGGAAGAGTCGGCTGACTCGGGCGGCCCCGTGGCTTCGGTTTCGCCGCCTATCTCGAGCCCAGTGTCTCCTCCTTCGCCGCCGCCACCACAGCAGCAGCCGCCGTCGCCGCCGCAGAAGCAGTAGCAGCCGCTGCTGTCACAGGATCGAATGTGTCGAGGAAAGGTTGCACTATCGATTGATACAAGGCGCTTTTATACCTCCAGAGTACATCAGGTAACCAGGTTTATCCTATCCAAAGGGAATAGACGCTTCTAGAATATAGAATCACCTTCCGTATAGCCACGCGAGGCTATTGGCTTTAAGGGATTACGGTAGGATTACGCTAGATATAGCGCCTAGTACATCCCAAGCCTGGTCGGTGATATAATTATAATAGCAGGATAAACCAAAGGATAATGGAAAAGGGAGAATAGGAAACCAAATGGGATGGGATAAAAAGAGAAATAAAATAGGAAAGAAATCAGAACAGGCCAAGTGGTGTAACAGGGTCGTACTCTCACACTTCCCCCCCTCAAAGCTGGGTGGTAGAAGTAACACCTGTTGTGTGATGTCATCATATGCTATCACATTCTGTCTGCCTCCCATCCCATGTTTTCAACTTGCATGTGTGGTTTGAATGTGAAAGAATTTGTGTGTGGTGTGTTCTGGAGTTTGGGAATGTGTTCTGTGTTATTTTTGTTTGAGCAGGTATTTTGATGATAGATCTTGAGAAGATCTTTCCGACGCAACAAGAATCGCTTCAATCGGAGCAAGAACGCGAAAGCTATGAAGATTCAAAGTTCATGAGCTTGCGTTACAATTGCGGCGGTTACAAAGTGAAGTTGTGGGGTGACTTTATATGGAGTTGGGACCTTTGGGGTTGGGTAAACTTGTCACTCTACTGTAACAGCTGCAAATAGGTTGGGAACAACCAAGCTAGGTTGGCAAGGGTGGCCAACTTGGATGGATTGGTTGGGAAGGGACAAAGGTCAAAGTTGAGGTTCCTATAGGGAGGGAATCTTTGTGCTTATGGGGTTTCCTTGGTTGGGGACTCTCTTGGGACCTTTCCTCTCATCCCTCTCTTCTATCCCAACCTTTCTCTTGCTCCTCAAATTCCTTGTGAGATTCTTGAACTTTGATTGAACTCTTGAGATTGAGTTAAGTTCTCCTCCTACAGCTTACCCCCTAGTGCGTCGAAAGCCATAGCGTCGCGAATACTTCATCAATCAACGTGATTCAAATTGGGAACGGTAGCTGAGATCAAGAGCTACAACATATCCAAGTTTCGCGACATTCCAACCGCTAGTGTTTTGTCGACGTCGTTTCTTGTGAAGACGACTTTTCTGTCCAGAATTTCGGATTTATATTTTGAGTAATTCTAGCTCCTAAGTTCACCTAGACTCTGTCCTTAATCCTAACAAGTGGTATCAGAGCCATATTAAGGACATTGAGAGGAGTCTACAGAAGTGTGAAGACCCTTCTAGACCCACCATGGCCTGTGGGTGTGCCTAAGTGGTGTTCTAAAGGTTGGATGTGTCTTCCGCTAAGGGGAAACTCTGCCGAAATTTCGTGGACGCCGATACTTGTGAAAATATCGAGGGAGCTGAGTGTGGACAGCAAAGGGGAGCTGAAATTCGTCATTTCTCAAGGAGAAGATGAATGAGAGAGGAGGAGATGCTAATGGAAGAGGAGCTGTAGCTGAGAAGACAAGTGAGCCGCCGCCATCAAAAGTTGAAGCTTTGGATGGCTCCAACTATGAGGAATGGAGCGGACGGATGAGGAGTGCCTTCAAACGCTACAAGCTACTGAAGATTGCTGTTGGGGAAGAGAAGATGCCGGAAGAAGGCGAAGCACGCGAACGGTGGATTGAGAAAAGCGCGGTGCTTTTCGACCTCATCCTTCAATCGGTCAACAAGGAGATGTTCGAGCACATCAAGGATCTTGTGGAAGCGGATGATTCGGGTCCAAGGGCGTGGAAACTACTACGTGATGTGATTCAGCCCAACACTCTCCCAATGGTGATCGTGCTCGAGAAGGAACTTGCTGCCATCTCCATGCGACCAGGGGACGATGTGAAGCCGGTCCTTGACAAGATCAAGGACACCTATGCAAGGATGGCAGCAGCGGGCAGTAGTGTATCTCAGCTGCAGCAGTGCACCAAGATCATCTCGGTGTTGGACAACTCTTGGGACAACCTCATCCCCACCCTCAACTCTCAGCAAGATCAATGGACACCTGAGTGGCTAAGGCAGCAGATTCTGCAGGAGGACTTCCGCAGACGCCATGTGGGAGGCGGTGCTGCCACTAAGACTGCTGAGGGGTATGGAGCTGCAGGGCGCGGCAGAGGAAGAGGGGGTTGGAGAGGCCGAGGCCGTGGGAGAAGCTTTGGCAGAGGTAGAGGCCGAGGTGACTATAATGAGGGGCATGGGAGCTCCAGTGGCAGGGGGAGTACCAGAATGGAGGGCACCTGCTGGTACTGCAAGAAGGTCGGGCATCCTTGGTTCAAGTGCTTCAGCAGGCCGGAGGGATGGGCACCTCCAGGCATGAAGCCGCCCAGTGGTGAACGCGCACAAGGTGGTGCTGTGCAAGGCTCAGGTGCACAAGGTGAAGGTGCACAAGGTAATGCCTATCCTGGGATGTTTCTTATGGTTGAGGATGTGCATGGGCATGAGGGTGATGTGGGATCTGTGGGAAAGGTTGTGATGCACCCTCTCACGCACTGGGTGATTGATTCAGGTTGCACCAGTCACATGACCCCACGGGCAGATTTGCTTGATGAGGTAAAACCCCCTGGGAAGATCAAGTATGTGGCAGCAGCGTCAGGTGCTTTGCTCCCTGTCATTGGTGTTGGAAATGCCAAGGTTAAGGGAGCTAATGGGGAGCTTGTGGGGCTTGGGAATGTTCTGCTGGTTGAAGGCTTGTCTGCTAACCTTCTCTCTGTGCGACGACTGCAGAAGAGCAAGGCCGAAGTGACCTTTGGACCAACCAGCTGCCATGCTAAGCTTGGGAAGAAGGTGCTGTGGAGTCTGGAAGAGGAGACCAGCTGCATCAAGGACCTGTGGCAGCTGCCCATCATCCCATGGAATGGGAAGACTCCAACAGCAGCAACGGCAGCAACGGCAAAGGCAACAGCAGGAGGAGATGCAACTGCACCAACTGATGGGGTCCTGGAAGCAGTCAAGAAAGTGCAGCAGCAGCAGACACATGGCGAGGTGCTTGCTGGTGTGGATGCGAGTGCGGCATGGGCTAAGGCTTCATCAAGGAGTGGAGAGGCCGATTGGGAGACATGGCATGAGAGGCTGTGTCATGTGAACTTCCCTATGCTGCAGAAGTTGGTGAAGGATGGGAGCCTGAAGGGCTTGGAGGTGAAAGGGGGAGTGAAGGAGATTGGGAGCTGCCCTACATGCTTGGAGACCAAGTTCTCCAAGTTCCCCTTCAACAGCACTACAGGACCAGCCAAGACCCCACTTGCACTTGTGCACATGGATGTGGTGGGGCCCACAAGAGCCCCTTCCCTCTCAGGCAGCCGCTATTTCTTGACAATTGTGGATGACCACACTCGGGCAGTGTGGGTTTACCCTTTGAAGAGCAAGGGGGAGGTGGCAGCGGCTGTCCTTAAGGAGTGGATGCCTAGAGCTCAGAGGGAATGCGGATACAAGGTGAAGGTGATCCGTAGTGACAATGGTGGGGAGTTCATTGGAGCTGATTTTGAGGGGGAGTTGAAGAGGAAGGGGATCCAGCATCAACTGACAGTGCCCTACAACCCGCAGCAGAATGGCGTGGCTGAGAGGTTCAACAGGACCCTGCAGGAGGGGGCACGCACTCTCCTTGGGCGTGCAGGGCTGCCTGATCCATTTTGGGTGTCTGCACTGAGGCAGGTCGCCCTTGTGAAGAACAGGGTGCTGGCTACAGTTGGAGATAAGGAGTGGATCCCATATGTCAAGTGGTATGGGAGTGCTCCAGCTGTGAACATGCTGAGGGCATTTGGGTGCATGGTGGTGTTTGATGTGCCTAAGGAGAAAAGGGGGAAGTTGGAGGCTTCTGGAAGATGGGGTGTGCACTTGGGGATTGCAAAGGATCACAAGGGTTGGCTGCTATGGGACTTGACCACCCAGAAGCTGACAGTGTCAAGGGATGTGAAGTTTCTGGAGTCCCTGTACTACAAGGAATGGAAGCAGCAGCAACAGAAGCTTCCATCTACACCGCTCATTGTGGAGGCAGACGAGGTGCAGCAGCCTTCAAGACAGGTGGAGGTTGCAGTGTCAGAGGAGGAGATGTCTGGGGTGACTGAGGAAGGGGGAGCAGCTGAAGTAGAGCAGCAGCAGCAGCAGCAGCATGAGTCTCCATCTCGAGTTCCACACCCGCCTGAGCGACCTAGGAGGGATGTGCGCCCTCCGGTGAGGCTGACCTATGGGGGAAGAGGCAAGCCAAATGTGGTGCAGGCTGGGAGTGTGGTTGAGCAGATTGAGGAAGATGAGATCGCTCACTGCTACTGGGCACCAATCCCTGAGCCCAAGACTCGAGAGGAGGCCTTGAATGGACCAAATGGGGAGAAGTGGAAGGCGAGTGAGGATGAGGAGTTCGGGTCCCTGATTGAAAACGAGACATGGGACCTGTGTGACTTGCCTCCTGGGAAGAAGGCAATCACTTCCAAGATGATCTACAGGCACAAGTATGGACCTGAAGGGGAGCTGACCCGCTACAAGTCTAGGCTTGTGGCACGGGGGTTTCAGCAGACAAAGGGGAAGGACTATGATGAGGTGTTTGCTCCTGTGGGGAAAGGAACAACATTGAGGGTGCTGTTGGCGATAGCTGCACTCCTGGGATGGAAGATTCGGCAGATGGACATTGTGACTGCCTTTCTGAATGGGATCATTCTGGAGGAGGTGTACATGAAGCAGCCAGAGGGGCTGGATGATGGGAGCGGCAGGGTCTGCAGGCTGAAGAAGGCCATCTATGGCCTTAAGCAGGCGCCTCGTGCATGGTATCACAAGTTGGAGGAGGCGCTGCTGGCTGGGGGTTTCAAGAAGAGTGAGTGTGACCCCAGCCTGTTCCTGCTGCAGGAGAAGGACGAAATCCTCATGCTCTTGGTGTATGTGGATGATATCCTTCTCTTTTCTGCATCAACTGCTTTGCTGGACAGCGCAGAGCAGATGCTGGAGATGCAGTTCAAGTGCTCCAAGATGGGTGAGGCGAAGTACTACTTGGGGATGCATGTGGAGAGAGATGTGGAAAAGGGTGTGCTGAGGTTGCACCAGAGGAAGTACTGTGAGGGGCTGGCTGAGAAGTATGGGCTGCAAGATGGGGGAAAGCCAGCAACACCACTACCTTCAGGGTTTACTGTGGAGCCATGTGCTGATGAGGAGGTAGTGGGTGATAGTGACAGGAAGCTGTTTCATTCGATGGTTGGGTCGCTGAATTATGCTGCAAATCATACACGGCCTGACATTGCATTTGCTACATCACGACTGGCTAGCGTGGTTTCACGTCCTAGTCATGAGCAGCTGGAAGCGGCCAAGAGGTTGGTCCGCTATGTGAGTGCTACGGCATCAGTGGGATTGGAGTACAGTGGAGTGAGGCAGCGGTTGCAGAGAGGTGCTGCAGATGTGAAGAGTGGTGAGATGCTCTTGAGTTGCTATACTGACGCTAGCTTCAACTCAGTGAAAGCGGATGGCACCAGCATTGGGGGTTATGTGTGCTTGCTGGGAGGTGGTGCTGTGAGCTGGCGCAGCAAGAAGCAGAATGAGGTGGGATTGTCTTCATGTGAGACTGAGTACATGGCCTTACACCATGGGGCCAAGGAAGTGGTATGGCTGAGGCGTTTGTTGGAGGAGTTGGGAGTTGGTCAGGAGGAGCCGACAGTTGTGTTCTGTGACAATGAGTCTGCAGTGAAGCTGGCCAAGAATGCTTGTCTGCATGGGCTGACAAAACACATAAGGCCTAAGTGGCATTGGGTGAGGAGAATCCTTGATAAGGAGGTGCGGCTGGAGATAGTGAAGACCCATCAGCAGGCAGCAGATATTTTCACTAAGCGTCTGGCGGAGGCGGATCATTGGAAGGGCATGAAGCTTGCTGGGATGAGTGTGCATTGAGTATGCATGCTTGAGATGTGGTATGGTCGATGATGGTTGGCAGCCAGAGGGGGAGATTGTTGTGTGATGTCATCATATGCTATCACATTCTGTCTGCCTCCCATCCCATGTTTTCAACTTGCATGTGTGGTTTGAATGTGAAAGAATTTGTGTGTGGTGTGTTCTGGAGTTTGGGAATGTGTTCTGTGTTATTTTTGTTTGAGCAGGTATTTTGATGATAGATCTTGAGAAGATCTTTCCGACGCAACAAGAATCGCTTCAATCGGAGCAAGAACGCGAAAGCTATGAAGATTCAAAGTTCATGAGCTTGCGTTACAATTGCGGCGGTTACAAAGTGAAGTTGTGGGGTGACTTTATATGGAGTTGGGACCTTTGGGGTTGGGTAAACTTGTCACTCTACTGTAACAGCTGCAAATAGGTTGGGAACAACCAAGCTAGGTTGGCAAGGGTGGCCAACTTGGATGGATTGGTTGGGAAGGGACAAAGGTCAAAGTTGAGGTTCCTATAGGGAGGGAATCTTTGTGCTTATGGGGTTTCCTTGGTTGGGGACTCTCTTGGGACCTTTCCTCTCATCCCTCTCTTCTATCCCAACCTTTCTCTTGCTCCTCTAAATTCCTTGTGAGATTCTTGAACTTTGATTGAACTCTTGAGATTGAGTTAAGTTCTCCTCCTACAGCTTACCCCCTAGTGCGTCGAAAGCCATAGCGTCGCGAATACTTCATCAATCAACGTGATTCAAATTGGGAACGGTAGCTGAGATCAAGAGCTACAACATATCCAAGTTTCGCGACATTCCAACCGCTAGTGTTTTGTCGACGTCGTTTCTTGTGAAGACGACTTTTCTGTCCAGAATTTCGGATTTATATTTTGAGTAATTCTAGCTCCTAAGTTCACCTAGACTCTGTCCTTAATCCTAACAACACCCTGCTTGGCAAGGTAGTCATGCAGAGGACGATGTGCGTTACTCATGTCGGACTCAGGTACCCAGCTGTCCTCAGAAGGATCATAACCCTTCAAACGAATGAGAAGCTCCACGGTGCCATTCCGACGACGGCGGTGTGCAAGCACGGACTCGACCTCGTACTCGGGTTCATTCTGGACGAGGACGGGCGGCGGCGGTTGGCGTCCGGCGAAGATCGTGTTCGGATACCGATAGGGCTTCAGAAGTTGGACATGGAAGGCATTGTGAATCTTCCAGGTAGCTTGCAGGCGTAAGCGGAAGGTAACAGGAGTGACCTGTGCTTCAACGAGGAACGGCCCGCAGAAGCGAGGTCGAAGTTTAGATGGGAGATGGCTGATGTCAAGATTGCGTGTGTCGAGAAGCACCTGGTCTCCCACGGTGATGGTGTGGTCATTGCAATGGTGATCGGCCTGGCGCTTCTGTTGCTGCTGAATGTCAAGGAGGCGCTTGTGGGTCCAATCCCAAAGCTGATGCATGGTTGTGATGAAGTCGTGTGCTGGTTGGACAGTTGCTGATGTTGTCGGTTTTTGTGGTGTGAGTGGGTGGCGTCTGTACCAGAGGAAGAACGGCGTCTATCAAGTAGCGGCATGTGTAGCGTTGTTGTAAGCAAACTCTAAAACGGGCAGGTGCAAGTCCCATTTGGAGATCTCGTCCTTGCAGGCTGCGCGGAGGAGTTGCTCAACAATTTGGTTGAGGCGCTCGGTCTGTCCGTCTGTCTGCGGATGGTAAGCGGATAACATGGCGAGTTTGGTCCCGAGTAGAGACATAAGTTCCTTCCAGAAATTGCTGGTGAACTTAGGGTCTCAGTCGAAGATAAGTGTGGTTGGAATGCCATGCTGTGAGATGATGTATCGAACGAAGAGTTGTGCTGTTTCTTCGGTGCGTGCTGTCGTGTGTGTCGGAATGAAGTGTCCCATTTTGGAGAACTTGTCGCTGACGACAAGGATTGCGTCATGACCGCTGGTGGTCGGCGGTAACCCGATGATGAAATCCAGGCTCACCACTTGCCATGGTTGTTCTGGGACAGGAAGAGGCTGTAGCAGACCTGCCTTCTTCTGCTTGCTGCTCTTCATCCGCTGACATGTATCACACGAGGTGACAAATTTCTGAACATCTTCTGCCAAGTGGGGCCAGTAGTAGTGCTTTGCGATACCGGTGAGTGTCCCACGTACAGGACGTCGTGGTATTCTTCGAGTAGTAACTGGCGCAATGGAGGGTAATTTGGTACCCAGATCTTCATTGATCCCTTCCGGTATGCGATGGCGTTGTCCCACTGTAGCAGATGTCGTTTATTGCCAAGGGAATTTCGGGGTCGATGGTGTACCCGTGTGTGAAGAGTCCCTTGAGGAGTGGATTCATCCCTTCAACTTGGATAGCAGCAACGTGTGCAGGCCGGCTAAGCGCATCTGCTTTGTTTTTGTGGCCGGGCTTGTACACGATGTCGTAGTGGAAGTGTGTCTCGAGGAAGTCAATCCACCGGACCTGCCGCCTGGAGAGGCTTGGTTGTGTCTTCAAATATTTTAGGCTGCAATGGTCGGTGTAGACTGTCGTCTTGCGTCCTTCGAGATAGCATCTCCATGTTTTGAAGGCGATGATGATAGCAAGGGCCTCCTTGTCGTGTATCGGGTACTTGAGTTCTGCTCCATGTAATTTTTTGCTGAGGTAGGCAATTGGTTGCAGTCCATTCCCTGGTCGTGCATCAAGACTGCTCCCACTTCGTGGTCGCTGGCGTCAGCTTCGATAACGTAGTCGCGTTCGGGGTCTAGCAAGATGAGTACAGGTGCGGATGTGAGTGCTTGTTTCAGCTGCTCCATGGCTTCTTGGTGTTGTTGCTCCCATTTATAGAGCGTGTTCTTTTTTAGCAGATTCGTGAGTGGCGTGGCGATCTTCGCGTATTGCGGCACGAACCTGTTGTAGTAGTTAGCAAAGCCAAGGAACTGCTGTAACTCCTTCACGTGCTCGGGTGTCTTCCACGTACGTACGGCTTCGATTTTCTTGGGGTCGACGTGAACTCCTTGAGCGCTTACGATATGTCCGAGGAATTGGACTTTCTCGAGGGCAAACTCGCTCTTGGATAGTTTGACGTAGAAGCGTTCTCGTCGAAGAATTTCGAGGATGCGTCGTAGGTGTTCGACGTGCTGCTTCATGTCGCGTGAGTAGATGAGGATGTCATCCAGGTACACCACCACGCACTCGTCCAGAAGTGGGCGTAGAATATGATTCATCTCCGCTTGGAATGTTGCAGGTGCGTTGGTGAGTCCGAACGGCATTACCAGATACTCGTACGATCCGTACCGAGTTCGGAAAGCGATTTTGTGAACGGAATCGTCCGCCATTCTTATCTGCCAGTATCCGGACCGCAGATCTATTTTTGAGAATACCATGGCTCCTCGAAGCTGGTCAAGCAGGTCATCGATTCGTGGAATCGGGTACTTGTTCTTGATGGTCTGCTTGTTGAGGGCTCGGTAGTCGATGCACATGCGCAGGCGTCCGTCCGGTTTCGGTGTGAAGAGTACTGGGGCACCGTATGGCGAAGTGGATGGTCGGATGAGTCCTTTGGCGAGGAGATACTCGATCTGTTTCTTCATGTCGGCTAGTTCTGTAGGGCTTAGCCGATATGGTGCTCGGAAGGTCGGTTTCGAACCTGGTTCCTCCACGATCTCGTGTTGGTGCGTTCGGTATGGCGGTAGCTCGTTCGGAAGATCGTCAGGGAGAATGTCTTGGAACTCCTTCAGTAATTCCTTGATTTTTCCTGGAGATTCCGAGATCTTCTCTCTCGTTCTCCACCTTTGTTGCTATCGCCAGGAACCCGGTGTCGGTTCGCTTCACGTCCTTCTCGAATCGTGCGAGTGTCTCCATTGGGATATCTCCGGTATCGTCCCAGTTGGGTAGCTGGACTCTCCTTCCCTTGTTGTTTATACTTGCGGTGCGGTTCACCCAGTTGATCTCGGGGTTGAATTTCTTGAGGAAGTCTCGCCCGAAGAGGTCAAGCCCTTTGATGTTGGTGATGGGGAGTGCAGGTCCCCAGCGCAGTGGTCAGATTTGTAGGTGTAACACTGCTTCGCCGTGTACTGGTAACTTGCTGCCGTCCACCATCGATGCAGAGAATCTTGAAGGCTTGTACTCTTCCCGAAGTCGGTCGATTATTGCCTTGTCGCAGACGGTGTGCGATGCTCCGCTGTCCACGAGTGCTTGGAGGCATCGTCCTTTGCAGATGACCTCGAGCACGAACGGCAGGCGTTGCTCGGAGTACCCAAAGATAGTTTCATTGATAGGATCATAGGGTACATCCCAATATGCGTTGCTTCTTACTCCTGAGCTGGCAGCTGGCCAAGGCTGCTTGGAGAACAGCTCTTCTCCAGGGCCTGGAGTTTCCTTGACGACTGTTCGTGTCGTTGACGAAGTTGCCGAGTTGGATGCATCCGGAGAAGGAGTTCGGGGTTTTTCGTAGCTTTTGGTAGACCCCCAGCTTCCTCTTGAGCTGCTTCAGCTCCACCGACGTCTTCCCTGGGGAACGGGTAGTCGCTGTGGGCTGGTGTCGGGAGAGGACATTGACTCCGTGGAAAGGTCGGCTTCTTTCCACACTCCATAATTTGGTCCCCATGTTTTCCCGTACCGGTACGATCTCCACGATTTTCTGTTTCTTCTGGAGTCCTTCCCGAAATTTCTCCAAGGCTCTAGCCCCTTGAGAATTACAAGTTTTCATTAAAGTATCTTTATAGGATAGCTTTAATGAATCCTTATAATTTTTTGGGTCTTCAAGGAGATTCCCCATCTTGGCAGAGTCTTTTTTCGCAGAGTCAGATTTTCCCTCGGCGATTTTCCCTGGCGAAGACTGGTCGTGGGGTGGAGATTTTCCCCCATCATTTCCTCCTATTCGCGTCGAATCGGCTGCGTCGAAGTAGATTTTTCCGGAATCCCGCGGCCGTTTCCGGATCTTTTCTTTTTCGCCAGCTAGATCCGCAATCACTGGCGAATCCCGTTTTTTGGCTTCTGATTGGCCGAAAGATTTCCGCCACTGTTGCGTGCCCGATACTCTGCGCGTGCGGCTTTCATTTTGTTGCAGT